CAAGTCAATTGACAAGATCGAATTCCCGGCCTAGAGCAAAGCGAGGAAAGTCATACAAAGACTTACGACTGAGGAAACCTCAATAGTTCATTGGAAAGTATTGATTGCCTTTATTTTACTTATTGTTTGCGTAAAATGTCCAACTCTATAGTGAGACTCGAAAGAGTTCGGGGCCGGGTTGTTCGAAAGTCGGTTAACGCTAAACCAAGATTAAAAGTTAACCAAGTATCAATTTTTCTTGTATAAAAATGTTTTTCATTGCTTATGGATTGTGCAGTTTAAGATTATTAAAACTCAAAACTGAAAGACAAATAATAGAAACAGAAAACCTCACCGAAAAGTTACAAAATTGAAATCAAAATTCTCACTAATCCTGGGTTAGCTTAATCGGGCTTTGAACAACCCGACCCTGATCTGGAGGTGGGACTGCACGTACTGAATCTTGTTTCTGAACAAGTTTATGTCGAATATACAAGACTGTGGTCAAATTCTTGTTTTTCTTTACTTTTGAGAACCTTTGTTTACAACACCAACCTGCAGTTCTTTATTTTCTGTAGGAAATTTTAAGTTTAACCGTCCATGGTTTCACAGAAGTCAATTAAACTCGTTCCGAAACCGAAACTCGCTACAAAATGAAACTGCGTGCGACGTGTGTTCGGCGAGTGCGCCAGGTGTAACATTCATGTCCCTAGTAGCTGCAAGGGTAGATCACACACCGGAAAAGATAATGCTACTCTTGTTACTGCTAAATCGCTATCCGGTGAGTAAGTGTTGTAAAACAAACTATGCTATCATCACTGGATAGTGATTCAGCGGTGACAGCGTTATCAACCCTTCCAACAATTAGGGCCTGACTTGGTACAATCAGTTACAGGTGTAATGTCATAGGCAGAATCTGGACATAGAAACCGAAACAAACAAAATAAAAAAGACGGGAAACCGTAATTGTATTTCCCCGTTGTCAGTCAAGGCCATCTGTAGCTTGTGTCCAGGGCGCGGCTCTCGGTTAATAGAGCTAGATGAATGTGTCGTTCGTTGGCAAGGAATTCTTTATGCAAGAAAGATATCTTTGACGCCGAATGAACAGAGCAGAACCAGTCTCATTTACATTTGAACAACTGGCAATAAAAACAACAGGTGTAACGTTATCAGCACATTTTTGTGGTTTGCCAAAAAATGTCTACTCCTTATTTCGCTTATTTTGGCAAGCAAAGTAAGTGTTAACACAACAATCGCATCCTAACTTTGGTTCTTCGAAAGGTGGATATATAACGCTATCCGAGGAGGGCGTAAGGGGGGTCCGAAAACCGCAAAACCGCGTAAAAAACGTAAAAAACCGCAATACCGCATGGAAA